AGAGAGTCACTAAAATGGAAGAGCGACCTCTGGTGGCAATTGGACGGAAGTCCATGAACCGGATTCGTAACATGAACAAAAAGAAAATCATAGATCTTGAACAACCATCAACATGTTTTATTCTTGTTATGATGGTTAGAGTGCTTGCATCTCTGATGAATTGTTTTAAGGTCAACCTGTTTTATTCTTACAAGTGTTATACACTTCACTTAATTTGCTATTGTAACGATTCCAGTCTGTTTGTTTTATAGACCGGTGGCTTTTATTTCTGCTACAGAAAAGTTCAAAACAGCATCTTACTGGTATTCTCAGAGTGAGAAATGTGCGAATAGAGGATGAGGCTGTTCAAAGCTGTTAAAGAAAGAAGAGACCCTAGAGCTTTGACACAAAATAAGTAAAAGCAACTTTAATTATACCATGGGAAACCAGTGAATGTGCCGCTTATGATAGTTACAGCTGGCTTCTAAATCCGGACTCTCTAATGAAAGACAGACTCTATCTCCGTCAGGCCTTTGTGAAGATGCTTGATTAAACAACATGCCATGCAGCAAAGCTCTCAGGGTGACTTCACATTTGGCTAACTAATTACACACTCGCTGACTGTTTAAGGTCTGGATTTGGAATTAACTGCGATAGAATTGAGTCATTCAGGTCATGAAGGCAGAACTTTTAGCCTGGATTTTGTCGGGTGAAGTAATGCAGATTTATGTGGCTTAATCAGCTTTTCTAAACACAATTGAAGTAAAAATAGGTCAGCAGACATTTAAGATGTTTTTTTCCCTATGAGGCCAAATAAATGTAGTGAGAGCAAAAACATTTGATACACAGTCAGTGACATTATTGGGATGGAGTATTTTTTATTTTATTTATTTGTATGAATTAATTTATTTATTTAAAATATAATATTACAGTATTAGAGAAACATTTTTTAAATTAAATCCAAATATCTGCTGCCAGTCAAAAGTTTGGAATAATTTAGTTGTTTTAATGCTTTTGAAAGTTCTGCTCACCAAGGCTAAATTTAGTAGATCAATACAAAAAAAAAATATATATATATATAATAATAATAATGTTGTGATATCTTCGGTGTCACATGATCCTTCAGATTTAATTCTAAGAAATTTTTAGAAACATAAAATAAAATAAAATATTAACAATTTTTTTCAGCAAGCATGCATTAAATTGATCTAAAATGGCAAGTAAAGACATTTATAATATTACATATGATTTCTTTTTTAAATAAATGCAAATTCTTGAACTTTCCATTTATCAAAGAATATATTAAACAGCAAAAACTGTTTTTAACTTTGATAATAACAGGAAACATTATAATTAATTGAGTACCTTTTTTTTTTTTAATGTAATTGTTCCAAACTTTCGACTGGTAGTGTATTTGTATAGCGCTTTTCACAATGAATATATTTCAAAGCAGCATGTTTTTAACATTAAATTATTGATTTATAAAAGACTTTTTATCGGTTTTTATTTATGTTCATGACAATATTTCGGTCTTTTATTTATATTATATAAAATACATTTTGTACTATTTTTAAATACGGTTAAAAAATATTAAAACACTATTGAAAAAATCTTCTTTATTTTTTTGTGGCGCCCCCTAGTGGAGTCGAGTATGAAAACCACTGTTCTGTGGAATAGCCTACTCATTGTTCCCAGGAGGTCCACCTATAAAACACTGTCGCCTGAAACTTCACAACAACTCAGTTTCCTCTCTTCGCAATGGAAAATGAAGTGAACGCTCCCCAGCTGGCCACTACAGAGCACAGTAATCAGCACTTCAAACATTAAAGTCAGATGGAGCCTCCAATATTGACATGTTCAGCATGTTCAGCATGTTCCTGACAAGAAATTCCCGCTTGTACAATAAAGTTCACATAATGGTGGTTTCCTTAGAGGGGAAGTGAAAGTTTTGTAATCCGCATCGCTCTAGTTTGGTGGCCTTGAGCTCCTTATCGCCAATCCCACATGGTCTGTCTGGTGACTGAAGTTCCCACCACTCAATGGGTGACTGCATCAATTTCTTGCTCTGCGTGATACAAGAAGCTGCGTAGGGTCAAAGTGAACCACAGAGCCATGCAACTTGATTCCACCTACATGTCGCTTCAGTTTTGTTTTTTTTTCTGGTGATTACAGCTTCTGACACAGGACAGTAGTTTCATGAAGATCTCTCAAAACCACAGTAGACCAGATATGAGACAAATCTGCCCAAACTGCTTCACAGAGGAAACTGTAGACACTAACTGTTTATTATTATTGTAATAATAAGTAATTATTGAAAGCATGGGCGACCAAATTGTTAGTCATGGAATTCCTGATGTCGGCCCCGCTGCAATTGGAGCGCTTAGCCAAAGCGCTAAATACTCTCAACGTGTTTTTGTAGTGTTGAGCAATGTAATCAATCACAGACATATCTGTTGATTTCTTGAACGCAATGGCCAATCAGAAATGTTTTGTTTTGAATTCACTCACCGCTGAAAGCGCCGCTGTTTTTAAGTGCAGTTTTGCACACTCGTGAATCATCTCATGACTAAGTGCAGACACGATGTAAATACGAGATTCATTGTGCAGTTTAGAGAGCTTCATTGATTTTAATGGAACTTTGTAAGATCGCGATGAACAAAGATGAGTGACGCTTTGTGATAAAGGGAGCATGCTTTGCGCACTTTCTAGGGTATAATCCATTACAGGGCCTAAAACTAACTTTTTGCCACGCCTGCCATTGATGTGATAACATTTACCAGCCAAAAATACTTTTTACCGGCCATGAAACTCTTTTTGCATAAACAGGCAGTCATTACTACTACAATGACTAAATGTATTTACAATGTTTTTAATTTGTCCTTTACTGTATACTTACAAGAAAAAAGCAACAAACAGATTTATTGATTTATCTTTTTTTTTTGTCCCTAAAAAGTTACAAGAAAAAAAACAAACAAACAGATTTATTGATTTATCTTTTTTTTGTCCCTAAAAAATGTTGAGATTCTTGTCCTTTGCATGTTTTCGGCAAACGGAGCAGGCCATCGTGTTATGCCTGTTTCACACATACTCCGTTTGCAGTGTGTATGTGGTGCATATTTTTTCCGCACCCATGTTAATGGATTAGAGCAGGGCTATTAAATTAGCTTCATTTGAGGGCCAGATTATCGAACTGAAAATTTGAAGGGGGCCGAGGGGGTGGAGGCTGTCCCGATCTCTTTCTGGGGGGGACCTATAAAATTAGAAATTTAATTGAAATCTAAAATCTATAAAAGGTTAACATTAGTGCTGTCTGTCAATCGATAAAAAAAAATAATTACACATTTTTCTGTAATTAATCATGATTAATCGCATATTTATATTGTCATAATTTCACATTGAACCTCTAAATTAATGTAGAAACAACAAAGATAGTATATTTTAAATATGTTTTTAATGGCATCTTTTTACTAAGTAGCCTATTATTAATGAAGAATTGATACCAATACTGCCACTGGTGTCTCTATTAAATGCATTTTCCCTCAATTTTCCCTATGAATTATAGCCATTCAACATTACAGTATAATTGAAAGCCATTATTTTTTAATATTTAATAGGCTCTGAAATATTAAGTGATTTTAAAGAAATTTTCGCATGGACTATACAGATTAATCTTTATTCAAGCTACAAAAGTTAATCAGCAACTAGAGCAGTCGAGTGATTTCTCTTTTTCTTTTGTTCTTTGATTTACATCAATCACAGACTTCAGCAGGTTTTACTTTAAAAGCAGCACTGTCTCTTTAAAACCTGATGACGCGTATCTGACACATCTTATTTTTTCCAAACTCTTTACGGTCATATAAGACTTTATAACTCATTTAAGACTACATTTACGAGGTAATTCGCCAAAACCGCATATTTTGACATAATTGTGTGTTTTCGTGCGTTGAAGTCGCCACATTCTCGGGTCATGAAGAATAAAGATGGGAAAAGTTAATCTTCCGAAATGAAGCAGTAATATCTTCTCTGGTAAAAGTTATTAGAACCGTGTAGGGACAAGCTGGCCATCACTCTGCTCTGACCTTATCAGCCCGTTTGTATCCTATTATTTGATTCGCTCTTGTTGCTTATGACAGAACAGCTAATCACGAGGATCTTGTCTATGGAAAATATTATTTTATCTGCTTACGTCAGAAACAGCGAATCTCTTTAAAAACTGGCTGTTGTTCTCATTACATTGCATTTGTTATATTTCTTAAAAGTTTTACCCGCCAACTGGCGACTGACACTGTTACATATACTCGCCAACGCCGATTTTTACTCGCATTTGGTGCTTGGCGAGTGTTAATTTTAGGCCCTGTATGTGTGTGTG